ATCGATGGAAATATTTCCTTAATTAGGACGAGTATCATCTATTTAGAATCCTAACGATGTGATGATACGTCTTGGAGTGAGGAGAAAAAACAGGTAGCACGCCATAAGAAGCGTGCTAAACACGACATTTCGGAGGTAATAAATTTCGTACGAAAGTATCCCTTTGGTCAGTTAATAAACTTAATTAATATCAGGATCTTGATAACGGATTGTCCGATTTTGATTTTTTTCACAGAACGAAACTGATTCGTTGCCAGGTGTTGTTTCGGTGGGATTTATTCTAATGTAGCCGAGTTGACTGCATAATTTATTTAGCCCGCATTCAGACCATTACAATGCAATTATTATCTATAAGGAATTGATCCACACGTAATAAATCACCTGTGACTTATTGAATGCAGTAAAACCGTCTACTCCTATCTGGCGTGCCGTACTGTTAATTTACACGGAGTAAGACTTTTTTCGTGTTAGATATTGTTGGCGCCGGACGTCTTGTTAAATATAAATAATAACGCTAAATGTGGAATATATTATCAGAATCTTAGTGCCGTTATAAGTGTTTGGAAGTATATAGCATTTCAACACTGAGAATGTTATGGTAATGAAAACCAGAGAGTGTCGTGATAATGAAAGCATGTATCATTTTTAGCGTTCCATGATTAATTGATATCAGACATTTGGCTTTTAGAAATGACATCCGAAAGAATGAAATGAAAAAATATATCTCAAATGACAAATTGCTGTTTCGAATTTTATACTATTTCATCCAAGACACAATTTTGGAAGCAAAACTTGCTCAAATTTTGACCCCTTTGACGACTATGAAACACATAACGATACAAAAAAGCAAATTTTAATCAAAATAGAGGCAGTCTAACGCAAAAAGTAGATGGATAAAATCGACTGTATATATTTTTGAATGTACGTAAAAAATTCTTCACAACAAAATCCATGAAAGTGATATAGCGGATGAAAATCAAGGTGTGGGGTCCAGAAAGAAACAAAATTTTTCAAATTTTAGGGCGTCAAAATGATTTTATTGGTTGTTTATTTTTCACTAACATCTTAAAATCCAGTTTTAATTTCAGTTAATGGAAATTAAAACTGGAATGAAACAATCGGTTTGCTGTTTCCGTCTGTTTGTCATCTGTCTATGATCTCTGTGCATTTTATTTGACACATAATGTCGGAAACTACTGGACTGATTGCATGGTAAATACTGTACTTTTCTATGACACTCATAAATTTTAATAAATTCGACAAAAATGTAAGCTGACGGATAAATTTTTATTAACGATTTACCATGTTTCTAATAATCTTAAAATATTTGCATGATTTCACAGCATTCGGTTTTTCAAAGTTAAATTGTAAAATATTGTTATAGAATGTTGACTTTTTAACAAAAAACTGGATATTCATAAATCACACATGCTGGAATATGTTATTTTATAAAATTTAAAACAACATTTATTTCGCATTCTATTCCTATAACCTGCAATATTTCAGTATATTCGCTTTGCAGTTTTAAAGTTAAATTGTAAAATAAAATATTGATTTTTTTCCCAAAAATCTCGATGTCAAGGGTAAAAACTCAATACAGATTCTAAATTACACATACATGGAGTATGTCGTCGCCTGAGAACTTGTTTGATCTGCAGACCAGAGCGCACTCAGGCTAATGTCGACTCTTAGCGTTCAGAAACGATTTGATCTATACGCCATGTTGGGTGATCTGATACACTTCGTAACCGGTTTCGACCATAATTTTCTTATTTTTTAAGGAATTTCTATAATTTTTCAGTTTTTCAATTTCTCAGTTTTTGGATATTTCAGGTTTAGGATGTTTCAGTTTTTCTTTCATTTTCCAATTTTTCGAAATTTCAGTTTTGGGATTTTTCAGTTCATTTATTATTCAATTTTTTAGGTTTTGATTTTTCGATTTCACTTTTTTGACTTTTTTATTCTTCAGTTTTTTAATTTCTTTTCTATGTTTTAGTTTTACGTTTTTTCAGTTTTTCTCCTGTTCAATTTCACGATTTTTAAATATTTCGATTTTTCAATTTTTGACTTTTTTAAATTCTCAATTTTTCGATTTTTCAGGTTTTTGATACATATTTAATTTCTCTATTTTTTCATGTTTCGATTTCTCGACTTCCCTTTTTCGATTTCTCAGTTTTTTAGTTTCTCAGTTTTTGGATATTTCAGTCTTAGGATTTTTCAGTTTTTCTTTCATTTTTCATTTTTTCGAAATTTCATTTTTGGGATTTTTCAGTTTATTTATTATTCAGTTTTTCGTTTTTCTCAATTTTTCAATTTCACGATTTTCAATGTTTTGTTTTCTCAATTTTTCGATGTTTCAATTTTTATTTTTTCGATTTTTTTGACTTTTTTATTTTTCAGTTTTTCCATTGTTTAGTTTTTCCTCCATTTTTCAATTTTTCGAAATTTCAGTTTTGAAATTATTCAAATTATTCATTATTCAATTTTCCGATGTTTCAGTTTTACGTTTTTTCAATTTTTCTTCTCTTCAATTTTATCATTTTTAAGTATTTTGATTTCTCAATTTTTGACTTTTTTAAATTCCCAATTTTTCGATTTTTCAGTTTTTTGGTATTTAATTTATTTTCTATTTTTTCAGGTTTCGATTTCTCGACTTCCCTTTTTTCTATGATTTCTCAGTTTTTGGATATTTCAGTTTTTCTTTCATTTTTCAATTTTTCGGAATTTCAGTTTTGGGATTTTTCAGCTTATTTGTTATTCAGTTTTTTGATTTTACAATTTCTCAATTTTTCAATTTCACGATTTTCAATTTTATGTTTTCTCAATTTTTCGATGTTTCAATTTTTCAAATTTGACTTTTATAAACTCTCAGTTGTTCGATTTTTCATTTCTTCAATTTTTAGGTTTTTGATTTTTCAATTTTTTAAGTTTTTGTTTTTTCGATTTCTCTTTTTTGACATTGATTTTTCAATTTTTTAATTTCTCAGTTTTTGGATACATATTTTAGTTTTGAAATTTTTCAAATTATTCATTATTCAATTTTCCGATGTTTCAGTTTTACGTTTTTTCAATTTTACGATTTTTAAATATTTCGATTTCTCGACTTCCCTTTTTTGATTTTCCGATGATTTCTCAGTTTTTGGATATTTCAATTTTTCTTTCATTTTTCAATTTTTCGGAATTTCAGTTTTGGGATTTTTCAGCTTATTTATTATTCAGTTTTTTTATTTTACAAGTTCTCAATTTTTCAATTTCACGATTTTCAATTTTTCAAATTTGACTTTTATAAACTCTCAGTTTTTCAAATTTTTAGTTTTTTTTTTCGAGTTCCCATTTTTGACTTTTTGATTTTTCAGTTTTTCCATTGTTTAGTTTTTCTTCCATTTTTCAATTTTTCGAAATTTCAGTTTTGAAATTTGTCAAATTATTATTCAATATTCAATTTTCCGATGTTTCAGTTTTACGTTTCTTCAATTTTACGATTTTTAAATATTTCGATATTTCAATTTAAAAATTTTTTTTCGATTTCACTTTTTTGACTTTTTGTTTTTTCAGTTTTTCCATTCTTCAGTTTTTCTTTTATTTTTCAATTTTTCGAAATTTCAGTTTTGGGGTTTTTCAATTTATTTATTATTCAGTTTTTCGATTTTACAATTTCTCAATTTTCCAATTTCACGATTTTCAGTTTTTCGTTTTCCCAATTTTTAGATATTTCAATTTTACGATTTTCCAATTTTTCTCTTCTTCAATTTTACAATTTTTAAATGTTTCGATATTTCAATTTTTCAAATTTGACTTTTATAAACTCTCAGTTTTTCGATTTTTCATTTATTCAAGTTTTAGGTTTTTGATGTTTCAATTTCTTAAGGTTTTGTTTTTTCGATTTCACTTTTTTGACATTGATTTTTCAATTTTTTAATTTCTCAGTTTTTGGATACATATTTCAGTTTTGAGATTTTTCAGTTTTTCCATTCTTCAGTTTTTCTTTCATTCTTCGATTTCTCAATTTTCCGATGTTTCAGTTTTACGTTTTTTCAATTTTTCTCCGCTTCAAATTTACGATTTTTCAATTTTTGACTTTTCTAAAGTCTCAACTTTCCGAGTTTTCAGGTTTTTGATTTTTAATTTTTCTATTTATTTAGGTTTCGATTTTTCAACTTCCTTTTTTTGATTTTTCGATTTCTCAATTTTTTACTTTCTCAGTTTTTGGATATTTCGGTCTTTGGATTTTTCAATTTTTCTTTCATTTTTCAATTTTTCGACATATTCTGGATGTCTAGGGTGAAAACTCGCCACGGATATATTAATCACACGTGCAGGAATACCCACTCCTATAAAATTAAGGATAAAAGGTCAACATGGGTTCATAAACCACATGTGTAGGAGTATCGTATTTTATAAAATTTAAATAGTATTTACTACTATAAATTTTGGAGATGATGTCCACAAATTGTTAGTAGGGATGATTAGCCAAATTTTGATTAGTGTTACACGATATTCGTAAGTCGTAAAATTAATAATTTCGTAATATAAAATTTAACAATTGGTTCAGTAGTTTAGGAGATTACTTGTCTAATAAGAATGCAAACAGACGGCAGACAGACAGACAGACAGACGGAAAAAGGGACCTATTGTTTCGTATTGAGTTTACGCTCTGAAAGTAAAAAAGATTTTCTTATTTAATATTTACATATATAGTTTTTTATGCGTCTATTATATTTTTAGGAATATTTATTGCATTTGTAGTTGTAACATCCTGTGAAAAATGCGTTGTATAAAAAAAAGGAGTAGACTGTTTCGGGATCCACCGGGAAACATACTCGTGTATTTGTACTTTATGAATCTGCCTTGACCTTTTCCTTTAGAGACCCAGATTTTCGCAAAAAAATTTAACTGATTAACAAATGCTTATAACTATAAATAAATATAAATGGTTTGCTTGTAATTCTTCCAAGGCGTATTTCACTGCAACTAGTCTTTTATACATTTTTAACTTCTAGGGTTTATTGCAAAAAAATAAAATTTCCTAAAACGAAATTTGGTACTTTTTCGAAGAAGCGGCATTTGTTGGACTGCGAGGGAAGTTCTGGCTAAATACCGTTGAATCAACTTTTTTATTACACTGTGACTGGTATTACCTATATTTCTTTAACTTCTATTGAGATAAATTACATAAATTTCGCAAATCAGTTGTTATAATTTTTCGAAGAAGCTATATTTGGTGAATTGTACTTCAGAGACAAGGTAAGTTCTGTCTAAATAACCTTAGAACAATTTTTTTAGTTTACACCATGATTACCAAGGTAGGTAGCGAGGACAGAGGGAATCCGCGACCGTTAATTGAGAAGAGAGTCTCCACAAGCACGAAGGTGAAAACGAATCGTCCGAAACCACTACCGCCTCCCCAGGGTCCGAAGAAGCCTCGTCCAGTGAGCAACCATCACTAGAAGATGTCCTTGACCCAATTTGGTTACTGTTTTGTTTTGCCTGTATTTCTTTTATCCCATAAGTTTTTATTTTAGCCATGTAGCTAGTGGCTGGGAATAAAGACCGTCTATTTCTAAACAAGAAACGGAGTATTAATTATTTCTGTGGCAGCCGTTTCGTCTCAAGATGTATCAAATTTTTCTATTAAGGCGTCAGTATTTTGTAATAATTCTCATTAGTTGAAATATTTAGCGAAATATTACGAGAAGTCTTATTTAAAAGCTCTTTGAAATTTGATTGAAATCTGAAATTATTAGCCATTATGTGAAGAAGATACTTATTTAAACCAATCTGAGATAGTCTAAAGTTATCTAGACAGAACTTGCCTCGTCCCTCAAATAAAATCTAATAAATCCAGCTTCTTCGAAAGTTTATTTAATGTTTTGTGGCGGCACAATAATAGCTAGGTAAGCGAAGTAGAGATAAGCCGCTCTGTTGCCTAGTGGTCAAGGCACCCGCCCGGCAAGTGTGGTTCGATTCCCACTGGGGCAGCAAACATTTTTCTTTGGTTACCTACAGTTTAATAACCATAATAAGTTAAAAAAACGATCGAAAATTATGTTGACAGAACTTCCCTTGCCCCTGAACTAACTGCAATAAAGCATATCAAACTTTTTCGAAAAATTAGATAATTTGATTTTGCGAAATTAATTTTTTTATGAGAACTCCTATAAGTTAAAATGAAGATATGTAAGTAATGTTAATGTAAATGTAAAGAAAATGTATATTTCAAATGAGTTTTTCATTTAAAAAACTTTGCGATAACGTCATCAAAATTTTTGCAAGGGTTTCCTATACGTTTGTATATCAATTTGGATAGTTGTAGTGTAATATTAATAATAACAGTAATGTTTCTCACATTTTCGGGAAAATGGAGTGAGTTGTTCCTGATTTAATAAATAAAATAAATTGACACATTCATTCATTTTTTTGAGTCACCTTGAATTCTAAAAAATATGATTGATCATGTTTAGCACCTTTTAGATAGGATTTATTTGGCAAAATTTTGAAATGACGTCATCAGTTTTTAAGGGAATCGTAAACAGATAAAAATCTGGATACCTCAACACGGATTGATAAACTACAAGTGGAGGAGTATGTAATTTTATAAAATTTTAGGTAACATTTGCAGTTGTAAAAGTTGGAGATGACGTCATATCATCATTGGTAGGGATGATTAGACAAATTTGGTTAGCATTTTACCATCTACACAATATTTCTAAGTCGGGTAGTTTCGAAGATTGCCTGTCAATAAAAACTGACACAGACGACAGATAACAGACAAACAGAAACGGAGGACTTATTTTTTCGTACTCTCTGGATCATGAAACGTCCAGAAAACCCGAAAGAAGCCATTCGCCGGATAAACCTTATTACAATACTTCCTTAGGTTACGCCCGGGAAGTAAAATGTTGCGGAAGAAGAAAATCTAGCAAATAACTGATTCAAAATTGATCGACAAAACAAATTTGGACTCAAAAATGTAAAAAAAATCGTTTCAATAGCGCGAACATATGAAAATTTTTGTCAATATAGAAATTTGAGAAGAAAGTATTCAAAATAGGTACCACGTATAACGTACAATTAATAAATGTTAAGTAGTTACGTTGGCTCTATGAAACGTAAAAGTTTGGTTAAAATAGAGTGAGTCAAAATAGTGGTAAAATCTAAATTAAAAGAGATTGTTATTACAGCGATCTTAAATTCATTTCGAAATGACAAGATTTCACAGGCATTGATCTAATTTCCGCGGTAGTAATACTTGTTACCCTACCGTTATACAAAATAATTGGAGAAGGTATTTTAAAGATAGCCTATATATCTTGGTCACCAATAAATTATTTATTTTAATAATAACGATTTTTTAATAGACTTTAAATCATCTGAATAAAGGTTATTCTCGCAACCAATTTATCACATCGTATAAAATGTAACAAAGAGCGGGGGGCTTACGTGGAATCCTAGGACTACTCTAACATTATTGTATCATTTGTATATGTAATTAAAACCACTTGTTGCATGCGTATGTTTTGCATATTACTCTCATCTAGACATTCTACAATTAGCATACAATTATCCAAATAGCTCCGCATTGACATTTGTTGACGATGACGCGTATTTAGCCTGACAGAAAGCTCGCTGTAATTTCACCGATGCAAAATAAAGAGGCTGCATTTGAAATTACGCATGCATGAGAATCCCTTAACCGTGATTATACTCGATATAAAAGCAATCGGACCAAACGACCGGTAGCCAGCAAGCCAGCACAGGCGTATGCTATGTATTCAGTAGATAATTAGCGGGTACGTCTAATTGGTAATTTAGCGTGTAATCCGGGGCAGCAATCCGGTAGCCCGATCCCCGCCTTATAATAACAAGCGCAGCAGCAGGTCGTTCTTAACTTCCCTACACACACACATTTCATTCGCAGAATATAATTTATATTGACCATACATCAAGCGCTTGTTGTTCAACGTGCACAGATTATTTTCAATTACAACCTTTATAATAATAATTAATCGTTGCTTCTTCAAACAGCATCTGATGTATGTTCCAGCAGTGTCAACCACTGATAAATAGCCGAAGAATTCTCAAAATGCCAACTTCGTGCCGGATGATTTACAGTTCGAGCGTTCGATTTTTGCTGGCGCTATTACCGATCGAATCGTTGCCCTCGAATCTCGAGATTGTTATCATGCGAAACTATCTTTAGACACGTTTATTGAAAAAGTTTACGTCGGATCAAACTCTAGGTAAGTATTTAATATGCATCTCGAATAACCAACAATTATGTGTCCGAAATCCTAAAAATAGTTATTAGGATAATTATAGAGCGGTGAATCTGCCATAGCTGTCCTCGTCCTTTCCATTAAAATTATTGTGCTGCGCCGTAACAATTTGTTTAGCGCGTTATACTAAAAAAGCAACAACACCAAAAGACAATGTTGCCGCGTAATTAAATCCTGGCGTCAGTGGCGTACGTTGGAAATTTTGGGACCGTCCGTCAAAACCTGAACAGAAAATTGTAGCAGCCGCGGGCTGAATTATCTCTAAATGCTAAATTATAGTGTTTAGGTCCAGTAAAATTTAACGTGATGGCATAGTTCTAAACAAACATGCGTTCAATAATTTAATCAAAACGACACGAAACCGGAGCGCCGCAGCGCCCCGAACTTGTCCCTTTTCTTGTTGCGGAGAGGCAAGTCGCCGAGGTTTTGTTTAATAGGACACACCCAAAAGATATTTCGTTTCTTTTATGAGTTATGAAGCGTCTAATAAATATCCAAACAGAAGCCTTCTAATTAAAATGACAGACGCATCGGTAGCCAGAGATCAAAATCTGGTTGATAGCGAGTTGCCGCCTTTGTTGTGGCGGCCCTAGCTTCGATCGACCGTATAAATATTCATATTCAATAAATTTATCAGCCATATACCATGCAGCAACAATAATTCATTATTATTAATTGATACTGGACTCCGCGCTTTATCATTTAATGAGCCAGCTTCACAATGGTCTATTTTCGGTGAAGGAAATTTCGACGAAATTTATTATCCGGTAGTGACCGTTACAGAGAACGCAGATTCTATACGTCGATATTTCAATGCAGAGTAATGTTAGTCGGAAAGCCCTCAGCGAAACACCTGCGTTACAATAATAACAATGAAGCGCTAAAACGGCACTATTAGTGCAGCGCAGATAAGATCGTCCTTAATTCAATAAATCGATAAAAGTGCGTGAAATGAAGGCAAAGTGGCACGGAAACTCGCAACCATCTATCATACGCGCATTAGAGGAGAGGCATCGGGGACCCTGGAAGACTTATTGCAAGAACTGAAAGGTGTTGCTGCCAGAATCGTACATCATGACTACATGCCTTTGACTAAAAGCAAAAATGCTTAATTGATTACTCTAGCGTGGTGTTAACAGGAACCCATCTTTTGCACCATATGTGCAGCTGACCATGGAGAACGATCAGAGGTTATGATCCATGTCGGCGTAGTTTGCAAAAGTGGAAAGCGTAGCAGAAGCGCATGACAAACTTTAGTAGTCCACTACAGGTACCTTTCGAACAGCTGGTGATGAATCTTTGATGAGATTTGGTGCGTGCGACGTGTGGGCTGAGAATAAATAATTTTTTCCTGCTATATAGTGGTAACAGATAAAAAATATTTGGTCGAGGTGTTACGTGGTATCGCATGCCGTGCAGGTGATGAAGTGTGTTGTCTGCATATCAGATAAGCGAGTCATGTTCCATTGATTTGAAACGTCTACTTGTACTGCTGCCTGCTGTTTCTAATATGTACTTGTAAAGGATTCTTCTTTACACCTTTGTCGTGTCGTACATTACAATGTTTATTCCAAGGATTGAATTAAGCAAATCTCGCAAGCCTACGTTTTAATAATGAAATCAGTTTACGGAAATGTCTCACCCACAAGAACTTATTATGACGTATAACTGTATCTATCACAAATATCTAATTCAAATATTCCACTGTAAAATAGATATTCTAATAATCTATTTTATCATGTATGCAAAATTAATTGTTCAGAGGAACATAAGTTTCAAGAATTAAGTTTTCCCCACAATGTAAATTTTACGATATAATTTATTCCACGTCAAAATTGATAACAGCTGTATGTCTTGGAAACCTGGTTAAAATTATTTCGTGGCTATGCGTTTGGTGTATCGCTACCGATAAAAAGGTCACACATGTCCATGTAAAAGTTCCTATTATCATATTTAGACGAACCTGCAGTTATTTTGATAACTAATTGCTGTGTACTTTTCCAAAATAGATAAAAATGTGGATATAGCAGTGTAGGGTGTTGGAAGCACTTTGTAATTTGATTTTGTCACAGAAATGGCAAAATAGTAAGAAGAATTTTGTTAAAACACCCTATAATTAATATATTAACAATATTTTAAGTTCAAACTTTTAATAAGTAACAGAACAAAATCATCACAATAGAGATCGGGTGGGTGGGCGGGCCTACAATTTGCCTTTTTGTTTGAATATGTGTGCAGTTATTTTCACAACATGAAACTTCATGTCCTGTTTCCAAATCAGGGGATAGAAACTACATAAAAAATTACAGACCGGTTGCCCGTCTATCGAATTTTGCCAAATTTTTTGAATGTATAATGTCTAATAATTGTATATTTGGCGTATAAGATTCTTTTGCATTCATAAAGAAGGAAATATGTCCCCAAAGATTCTTTCACATCTATAAATAAAAAAAGGCATTAAGGGCCCTTGAGATTCTTTCGCATTTTTAAAGAAAAAGACACCAAGAGCCCTCGAGATTTCAACAGAAGTTCCCTCGCCTTTAAATTACAGGCGAACAAAAATACAATGGACATAACTTTGAGGATTTAATTTTTTTTATGATGACCGCTATGAGCCAAAATTAGTGTATGCGTGGATTGTTGCAGTACAAGTAAAGAAGCATGCTATGCACATGTTTCTAGTGAGTTTTTCTATATAAAAATTGTTTGATGACGTCTTCAACACTAAAAAAACAAAGTGTCCCCGCCCACCCACCCGTTTTCTTTTTGATCGCTCCTTTTATTGGACGAAAAGTGGATTTTATGTTGATGGATAGTGAAATCTAAATACAAAAAGTAAAATTAACCCCGCCCACCTCCACTTTTGAATTTTTTTGGCCGATTCATTGTGATCAAGATTAATAATTTTTAATGATAGTTTTAATTCAAATCTATGGGTATTAACGCTTTTAAGTCGGTTATCGGACAAATTTATTTTTCAAACTTCTCGTATTGTCGAAAACTTTGGAGTTTATAATACGAACTATAGGATTAGCCAAAGAGTTCAACGGTTTAGTCTTAATTTTTGGAATTTCGGTCATGATCTAACTAAAATTTTCAAATTTGAAAAATTCTGATATGTTCTATCAGCTACATACGTCATCAATTGAATCAAATTGCAGAACAAGTATCGGATTATTTTTGAAATTGTTCGTATAAAATTTGGATTTTATTTGCGAACATTTGAATGCTTAGGGTAAAAAATCAAGGCGGATTCTTGAACCATAAGCAAAAAAATACGTTATTTTATCAAATCTAACCAACATTTATCACGCAAAATATTGAGGTGACGTTGTTAAATTGTTGGCGAGAGTGATTAAAGAAATTTTGATTAGCGTTTTACTATATTTTGTGGCTTCTAATAAAATCGACACAGACGAGAAACGACAGAGAGTAGACAACAGATAGACAGAAACGGGAGACATTTTTTTTATTATTTAGGGGACATGAAACGTCGAGAAAACATTAAAGTAGCCGTTCGTCGGATGGACATCATAAAAATATATGTCCAATTTTTTTGTGTAACCACTCGTGTTGATGTAAATTAAACTGAAAACATTTTAATTAATATACAGGGTGAATCACTAAGTACGTGGTCCTTGTTAAAGTTAAAAAACTAAGGTTATATACTTCTTTGAATAGCATACATTAAAATTATTTTCGAGTATTCAGAGTGTTCTGTTTTTGAGACGTAACATACTTAAGTTTTTTTTTTAATAGAACACCTCTGTATACATTTTTAGATATTCTGACTGGCCTCGTTGCCTGTTTTATGACTATAGTTTATTTTTGAAATTTCGACATTACCACGTTATTTCAATTTCCTTAATTTTTTTAACAATGAAAGAGTCATGTCTTTTTATAATCTGTGTTACCGTATTTTACTGAGAGATAAAAAAATATGTGTTTTGTTGTGGTGTCAATTGAACATAAATTTTATTCCATAAAACAAATTCTAAACATTACAATTTCAAATATAGACATCTTTAAAAATTGCAGAAACTATAGTGCTTTTCAGTTAAATCTGCATCAAGTTTTCAAGTTGGTTTTAAACACGTGAACGCATTTTAATATACTTACTAAATAAAACACTAGACTCTAACGATGACTATACGATTTTGACAGTTGCTGTCATTGCTGTTAAACATTTTGCGTTAAAGTGAGTACTAATACGATATTTGTTGACAAATAGTTAAATGTTATAGCTCTTTCAAAATGACAGCAAGGTGTCGCAACCCTAAATTTGACAGACGACGAGCGATATTTCTTTAATACCAACGTAAATTCCAACTTGTCAAGGCCACCCGCGATGTACATTCTTTTGAAATCTAGGATTAGGAAATAGAAATGTTTCTTATAAAATTTTATTGCTAATAACGATACAAAAGCTGAAAAGTTGTAATATTTCAGAGGTTTTATAAACACTTTCATTGTTTATCTCTGTACAAAACATTGTAAAACGGGTTTTTTTAAAATTACCTTATTGACATTTTATTTGCAATGCTAAAAATTCAAAGAAATTGGAATAACTTGGCAACGCCGCATCATAAAAAAAATATGGTTTTCAAGAGACTGAGAATATCTGTCTCAAAAACAGAACACTTTGTATAGTAGAAAACAATTTTAATGATTGCCACCCAAAGAATCGTAAGACTTTGGTTTCCGATTTTTTATGTTTTCAATAATAATTAATGGCATATCGAGGAAAGCGCGCTTACTGACTCTCCCTGTATATAACAAACACTATCGATAATTTACTTTTTTATGAATACGAGTATAAATCATTGTTTATTATTCACTGAATTACAAACACCCATTTTGCGTTCACAGAGAAGATAAGATATTTATCTTATTCAATTAAAATATTTGTTGGAGTGGAATGAATAAATAATAAGTGATAAGTCTAATGTAGTCAATATCGTCCGGAGTCTAGAAAATTCAAAACAGAAATTAATTCTTCCACATTTCGCAATACAGAGGAGTTTTGAACTGTTCACGTACATAAATTCAAACATACAGGCGATTTAGTTAGACGCTTTATATAAACTCAAATTTGTATCAAGCATACAGCAAGCATTGTTCTAAAGATCTGCATAAGTTTGAGTATTGTGTTGCATAATTAACACAGAATGAACTAAAGAGGATGAAACATTTAGAAACATGTTAAAAATAAACCAGAAAACTGGGTAAGGCACATCCAAATAATGGAAGCAAAAGAATCGACTAGGTTTAAGTATGTAAATGATAAAATGCTATGACTCATTCAAAGTACGGGTTTCTAAGGATTTTGAAATTTTATTTTAACATATTAACATAATTTTGATATACAATATTGACCATCAAGAGTCACATTTTACAACTTTGTTGTGTTCCTTCGCCCAGGTTTCAATTGCTGTAAGACACGTCGCTGTCCAGTGGTTGTCGGAAATATCAGTAGAGTTGGCCACAAAAACAGCAGCAAAGTATTTTTCGTCTACACACTCAATAGTGTTATTTTTAAGTGACAACACGTCTATTTCAAGACCACGCAAAAAATCTCCATTTAACGTTTTTAATTTATTGAAATCCAGTGACAACGTAGACACTATCTTCAAACCTTTGAATGCATCTTTATCAACTTTTGCAATATGGTTGCCATCGAATAATAAAATGGAAGGTACTGTAGACTTGACATTAGAAAAAATGTTACCAGGTATTTCAGTCAGTTCATTGTAGCCAAGATTGATCATTGTTAGCGAAGGCGTTAAGAGAAACCAATGGGTATCCACAGATGTAAACCGGTTGTCTGACAAATTTATGTTTTGCAAACTTGTCATATTGTCAAAGGCGTTGGAGTCTACGTGGGAAATGCGATTAGCGCTCAGATCCAGTCTAGTTAAGTTCGTTAAACAGTTGAAAACTCCTGTCTTGATCTTCGGGATTTTGTTCATAGTAATAATCAACTTCTTTAAATTTGGCAAATTCTGAAATGTTCTAGGTTGGATATCAGTAAAATCCTCGTCTATCAAATAAAGTGTCTCCATGTCTTCGACATCAGCGATTGAACCAGGTTGCAGAGCGAGTATTTCATGTGTTGAGAGAACGTAATCGCCGTCTTCGTCTTTCTTAAATGTTATTCCATTTTTTTCAAACGTGGTTTCGGTAGCTGATGTTGCCAAAAAGTAAGTAACACTTAAAAACCACAAAATTTTATGCATTGTGCACTGCTGGTAAATGTCTTGTTTAAACTGAACACAGATAGATGTTGTAATTACTTTATATAACACTCATTATCGGTAATTTACTTTTTTTATGATAACTGACAGTTGTTTGTTGGTTGGAATTTACAGCACGTATGTCGTGTTCACAGAAAAGATAAAATGTGGTATCTTACCTAATTAAAGTACATATTTTATGGAGTTGTATGAACAAATAATTGATAAGTTCGTGTATCCAGTATTGTTTTGAATCTAAAGCTATCACGAAAAATTTATTTTGCAAATCTTCAGGAATTTCCTTGTCAAGATTTTTTACAGTAATGAAAAATTATGTTTCTGTGAAGCAGACACACTGTTTATTCTTTTTTTTTTTTTCTTGAATAAGGATGAAGATTTTTTTCGCTGAACATTCCGGACTTCCTAAGCCGTTTTGAGTATAACCTTCATATGTAACTTAATTTTGACCACGTTTCAAGTTAATTTGAATTGAAAGAGAGGTTTGATTCCTTCAAACACCATTCGTAGTCAAAGTTAAATAATTATGGTTATTGTATGTGCTAAATTTGTCATATTGTCAAATGCGTTTGAATCTACACGAGAAATACTATTATACTAGTAGCATTAACATTTTTTACCATTTTTCAACTATTTCCGAAAATTATTATTGAAGACATTTTTTTGTAGATTTCGATATCCAGAAGTCATTTTCGGCTTCTATTATTAGTTTTCACTTCCACTCGACGGATGAACATAATTAGCCCCGCCCACCCACCCTGTCTCCTTTTCAGTGATTCATTTTATGCGATCTGAATGAAATGAATGACCTTAAACTGAACAGAAATAAAATTTGTCATTAGAATGAGAAAAGGGTGGGTGGGTGGGGCTAGTACTTGCTAAGATAAGATTGACTTTGGCCAATAACATACTCTCTAAGAAAATAGAGGGCGGGAGGGCGGGGCTTAAAATTATGTAGGATAAGACTATTTTTGGCATTTTTGACATATCCAGAAATCATTTTCGGCTCTATTATTAGTGTTACCTCCCACTCGACAGAAGAACAGAATTAGCCCCGCCCACCCACCCTGTCTCCTTTTCAGGGATTGATTTTCTGCAGTCTGAATGAAATGAATGACCTTAAACTGAACAGAAATAAAATTTCTCATTAGAATGAGAAAAGGGTGGGTGGGGCTAGTACTTGCTAAGATAAGATTGACTTTGGCCAATAACATACTCTCTAAGAAAGTAGAGGGTGGGTGGACGGGGCTTAAAATTTGATAAGATTAGACTGTTTTTGGCATTTTTATTATATGCAGAAATCATTTTCGGCTTCTATTATTATTTTTCCCTCCCACTCGACAGAAGAACATAATTAGCCCCGCCCACCCACCCCATCTCCTTCTAAGGGATTGATTTATCCGATCTGAATGTATAGTGAACAGAAATAAAATTAGTCGTTGGAATGAGAAAAGAGGGAGGTGGACGAGGCTAGTACTTGCTAAGACAAAAACTAATTTTGGCAAATCACATAGCTTCCAGAAAAGAGAGGGCGGGTGGGCGGGGCTAGGTACTTGCTAAGATAAGACTAATTTTGGCAAACTTTTTCTGAATGATAATTATCATTCAGAAAAAGTCGGAAAGTTTCACCTTTTTTAACTTTTCTAAATGTTTTCCATTTTTCTCAAACATGGTTTCATCAGCTGATACTCACATATAAGATAAACGTTGTTTACGTCTTACCCAATAAAGTGTTTTTGTAGTTGAATTAACAAAAACTGATAAGTCGTCTTTGACCCATATCATTTTGTGTCTAATAAACTAAACGAAGAATGTTTTAAAGGAAACGTTTTTCGTTGATCACACCTTATCTACTTAGTACATATAATTTATTAAATTTATTAAAACACTATAGTTAACACGTTAACAACCTTTTAAATAAACTTAAACTTTTAGAATGTTAAACTGAATAGTGATAACTCATATTCTACAGTTTTGTTATGTTCCTTCACCCAAGCTTGAATTTCTCTACGACAGTCTGACCCCAGAGGATTTTCAGAAATATCAGTAGAGTTAGCCACGAACATCGTATCAAAGTGTTCCTTATCTATACATGTGATATTATTACCTTTAATTGATAGTACGTTTACCTCAAGACCTTCCAAAAAGTTCACCTTTTTTAATTTATTTGACTCCAGTGATAACATACATATCGTCCCCAACCCTTGAAATGCGTCTTTAAAAACTTTTCTAATTTTGTTGCCATTAAATACTAAAGTGAAAGGTCCAGGAGATTTGAGGTTACCAAAAACGTTGGCAGGTATCTTCTTAAGCTGATTGTAGCCGATGTGAATAAATTTTATCGAAGGTGTGGACTCAAACCAATGGTTATCAACACTTGTAAGCTTATTTTTCGACAAGTTTATGTTTTCCAAACTTGTCATATTGTCAAAAGCGTTGGAGTCTATGTGGGAAATATTATTAGCCTTCAGATTCAGTAAAGTCAAATTAGTTAAAGAGTTAAAGATTCCTGGTTTGATGTTTGGGATCGAGTTGAGAGTAATAATCAACTTTTTTAAATTCGGTAAATTCTGAAACGTTCCAGGCTCCATATCAGTAAAATCCTCATCTAGCAAATAAAGCGTCTCCATGTCTTCAACGTCAGAAATTGATCCAGGTTGCAAAACAGGTATTTCGTGTGTTGAAAGACTGTAATCACCATCTTCGTTTTTCTCAAATGTTATTCCATTTTTCTCAAATGTGGTTTTATTAGCTGATACAGTTAAAATGCAAATAACACTTAAAAAACACAAAATTTTATGCATACTGCACTGTCGGTGTACGCTTTTGACAAGTAGATTCTTCGAACTGAACGCAGGAGGATGTTTTTCTTACATTATACAATCGTCACTATCGCTAGTTTACTTTGTTTATGATAATATATAGTTATTTATAGCTCTGAATTTAAAACGCATATATAAAGTTTACATAAAAACGAAAACTAGTGCCATCTCATGTAATTAAAATGTTGTTTGAAGCTGGATTAATAAGCAATTGATAAGTTTACTGTAATTGCTAATAAATAAATAAATCATTAACCTTGACCGAGTGTGAATAGAACTTTTAAAATTTACGACTCACAACTACTGTGGGATAACTAACACTTACAAATTATTGTCTCCCCTGAAAAAGCATTTGGCTTTTTCACCTTGTTGAAATTTTACTTAATTTTTCTCTAATGCCCGGCCAGTTATCAATGTCTTCAAAAGCAAAAGCCATTTGAGAGAAATAAATTCTTCTGCTTACAGAAAAACGACTTACGAGTTTTGTCCAAATTGTTTCTCTCAACTACTCAGTAACTATTCTAGATATTTTCAGAAATTTCAGTGCTCTTGGCGACAAAACTACATCAGTACTCACCATGATTTCATTTTATTACTTCCCAAGCGTAAGCTGCTAGCTATTATCACGTTTCATGACCCTTAGAGTACGAAATTTTATTTTGTCAAATAAACCAAACCATCGTCAGAAGTATTTTATTAAAACCTTAATATGTTATCAATAGATTTTCTAATATGGATCATTCTGCACACTTTTGTGATTTTCTTTCGCCCAAGTTTGAATTTTTTTAAGACACTCCGTATTCCAAGGGTTTCCCCAAATATCAGTATAGTTGGCCACAAAGACCGTAGCAAAATGTTTCTCATCTATACATTTGATTTTATTATATCCAATTGATAACCAGGACGACATTTCCCGACCGTGCAAGAAGTCTCCAGTCAAGGTTTTTAATTTATTTTCCTTCAGTGATAATTCTGATATTGTCTTCATGCCATTAAATGCATCTTTGTCAATGTTTGCAATATTGTTACCACGAAACCACAAAATGAAGGGTCCTGGAGATTTGATATTACCAAAAATGTTAGCAGGTATTTCCGTTAGTTTATTGAAGCTAAGATTAATAAATTTTAATGAAGGTGTTAGCAGAAACCAACGAGGATCTACACTTTTAAGTCTGTTGTAGGTAAAATCTATATTTTGCAAACTTGTCATATTGTCGAAAGCGTTGGACTCTATTTGATACACATCATTCAAGGTTAGGTCCAATGTAGTCAAATTAGTTAAAGGGTTGAAAATTCCGGTCTTGATCTTGGATATCTTGTTCAAAGAAATCTTCAACGTTCTTAAGTTTGGTAAATTCTGAAATGTTCCAGGGTTCATATCAGTAAGATTCTGCCATCGTATCTCCAGCCACTCGATATTATCTATGTCAGCGATTAATCCAGGTGTCAGAACACGTATTCCGTGTGTTAAAACATTGTAGTGCCCAGTAGAATTTTGCATATAATATGTGATTCCATTTTTCTTAAAGGTGGTTGCATCACCTGACACTGTTAAAATGTAAATAACACTTAAAAAACATAAACTTTTATACATATTATTCTGTTGCTTCAACTGATTTGTTTCAACTGAACGCAAGAGTATGCTCCTATTACGCTATATATTTCTTATCGCTAATTTATTTTGTTTATGATATTATATTGTCGTTTATTTATCTGAATTTAATATGTGTGTTTTGCTTTCACATATAAAATAAAAATTGTTTATATCTTATCCAACCACTTTTTGACAAAATTAATGGAAAACTTAATATTGATAATTTACAATTAACAATAGAAATTGAAAGACAATCTTTTCCGAAATTCTTGATATTATAATTAAAAACATAAATTATAATTTTTGATCTGTTGTAAGATTCCAAAATTTTATTTTTTGCGAAAATATTTCCAGCCAAACCATTTTCAGAAGTGTTTTATTAAAACGTTCCATGATATGTACAATGCTCAACACGTTTATGATTTACATTGGCCCAAGTTATAATTTTTTTAAGACACTCCGTATTCCAAGGGTTGTTACAAATGTCCGTATAGTTGGCCAAGAAAACCGTAACAAAGTTTTTCTGATCTATACATTTGATGTTATTATTTTTAAATGAAAAGAACTTGATCTTCTGACCATCCAAGAAGTCTCCAGTCATCCTTTTTAATTTATTTCCATCAAGTGATATTGTCTTCATTCCTTTAAATGCATCTCTATCAATTTTTGCAATATCGTTACCAGGAAACCATAAAGTGAAAGGTCCTGGAGACTTAATATTACCAAAAATGTTGGCAGGTATTTCCGTTAGTTTATTGTAGCTAAGATCAATATATTCCAAGGTTGAAAATTCCTGTCTTGATTTTCGGTATCTTGTTAAGAGTGATTTTCAACGATTTTAAGTTTGGTAAATTCTGAAATGCTCCAGGCTCCACATCAGTAAGGTTCTGTTTTTCCATGTCCAGCCACTGGATGTTTTCTATGTCAGTGATTAATCCAGGAGTCAGAACACGTATTCCGTGTGTTGAAAGATTGTAGTAACCATTAAATATCATATAAAATATGATACCATTTTTCTCAAACGTGGTCGCATCAGTTGATACTGTTAAAATGTAAATAACACTTAAAAAGCACAAACTTTTATTTTATTGTGTTGCTGCAACTGGTTTGTTTCAACTGAATGCAAGAAGATGTTTCTGGTATGCTACATAAAACTAATTATCGCTAATTTATTTTGTTTATGATATTAAATATTTGTTTATTTCTCTGAATTTAAAATGTGTAATTGCATTTACATATAAGATGAAATTGTTGATCTCTTTAATATGGTTCACCCGTTTTACAATAATTTAAACAGGACAGACAAGGATATATTTACAAGCATGATGATTACATTTTAATAAATATTTTCCAGTTTAGATTTACTACACTCCCATTTTTTTAAAGAAAATCACAAATTGTTAAGCATAATTGGTTAGGTAAAAGCACATCATGTGTACGCATTTGAAAACTATGATAAAACTATTTTTTGATGATGTGATTTTAAGAAATAATTTAATGACACACTCTGTGGTTAATATGTTGTTTTAATTAAACTCAAGCTTCCAAAACACTCATGACTCATATTTTACAAGTTTGTTATGTTCTTTCACCCAGGTTTTGATTTCTGTAAGACACTCCAGAGTCCAAGGGTTTTCAGAAATATCAGTAGCGTTGGCTAAGAAAACCGTATCAAAATGTTCCTTCTTTACACATTTGATATTATTATCTCTAAGTGATAATATGTCTATCTCAAGACCTTTCAAGAAGTCTCCAGTCACCGTTTCTAACTGATTTGATTCCAGTGATAACACAGATATTGTCCCCAAGACTTTAAATGCATCCTTATGAATTTTTGTCATGTTGTTGCCATTAAATATCAAAGTTAAATCTGCTTGAGACTTGAGGTTCCCAAAAATGTTGGCAGGTATCTCCGTAAGTTGATTATAACCAAGATGAATATACTTTATCGAAGGTGTTGACTTAAACCAATGACTATCCACACTTGTAAGTTGGTTATTCGACAAATTGATGTTTTCCAAACTGGTCATATTGTCAAAAGCGTTGGAATCTATGTAAGAAATATGATTAAAACTAAGATCCAATAAAGTCAAATTAGTTAAAGAGTTAAAGATTCCTGTCTTGATTTTTGGGACTGTGTTGGTAGTAATAATCAACATTTTTAAATTTGGTAAATTCTGAAACGTTCCAGGTTCCATATCAGTGAAATCCTCATCCAGCAAATAAAGCATACCCATGTCTTCTATGTCGGAAACTGATCCAGATTGCAAAACAAGTATTTCGTGTGTTGAAACACTGTACACACCATTTTCATCTTTCTCAAATGTTATTCCATTTTTCTCAAATGTCGTTTTACTAGCTGATACCGCTAAAATGTAAATGACACTTAAAAAACGCAAAATTCTATGCCTACTGCACTGTTGCTGCAAGCTTTTGATGACTGGTTCGTTTAAACTGAACGTAGGGGGACGTTTTATTTACGTTATATAACAGTTATTATCGCTAATTTACTTTGTTTATAATGATACGTTATTTATCATTCTGAATTTAAAAATATATTGTTTGTTCACAAGGAAGATAAAAAGTTTTTGCATGCCTTTCAATTATAATATTTTGTTGTTGGATTAATAAATAAATCATTGATAAGTCCACTACACTTTTGGATTTAATCAATGAAAAGTATTTCGAAATAAACTGCGAAAGTTTTTTAAATGTATTCTTTTAAAATATATTTTCAATAGCTGTGGGCAACTCGAAATAACTGACAATTTCACATCCAAACAGTGAAAAGTTTTCCAAAATAAACTATGACAACAATTTGAAATTGTATTGGGTCATAGAAACGACGCTATTGTCAGAAATATTTTATTGAAACAATCTACAGCTTTTAAAAAGTAATTTTGATCACTCAGGAGACCATTAGTCATAATCTACAGTTTTGTTACGTTCTTCCGCCCAACTATCAACATAAAGAATAACTGCACCAAAATTCATTGATTTTTAAAAAACAAGTCTTTTGTTTTGTTTGTTTGACGAAAGTAAAAGAAATCATAAGAATATATCACTGTATTAAAATTTTCTGTAACAACGATAAGAAAATATTCTGCATAATTCAGTATCATTTTCAGATGTGAGAAACACAGTTTGCTTGTCCAGCACCAACTAAACGACATTTTTGTTGATCAGACTTGATTTATCAATGGTAATTTTTTTCAGTTGCGAAATTAATTAGATATCTTCCAATATTCAGATTTATAATTAAATTCCACTTGGTGCAAGATATACTAGTTCTGTAACAAGTAAATATTTTCCAGTAAATATTTACTTTGTTCGCCAATTATTATTTTTTAGATTAATCACTACCTTACAATCGAAAATTGTGAAAAAATTATTTCATGATGACACCACGACAAGAAGAATTTTATTAAAACACTGATGGTTAACATGTTAACATTATTTTAAGCAAATGTAACTTTTAAAAAGTAGAATTGATCATTCATGACCCAAAGTCTACAACTTTGTGATGTTCTTTCGCCCAAGCTTCGATTTGTGTAACACACTCCGGAGTCCAAGGGTTGTTAGAAATGTCAGTTTCGTTAGCCACGAAAACCGTAGCAAAGTGTTCCTGATCTACACACTTGATAATATTATCTTTAAGTATTAGCACGTCTACCTGAAGACCTTCCAAGAAGTTTCCGTTCACCGTTGTTATTTTATTGGTTTCCAGTGATAACATTGATAGTGTCGTCAACCCTTTAAATGCATCTTTATCAATATTTGTAATCATATTGCCATCAAATATTAAAGTGAAAGGTCCCGGAGATTTGATTTCACCAAAAACTTTGGCAGGTATTTCCGTAAGTTGATTGTAGCCAACATGAATAAGTTTAATCGAAGGTGTTGACTCAAACCAGCGGCTATCCACAGTTGTAAGTCGGTTATTCGACAAATTTATGTTTTCTAAACTTGTCATATTGTCGAAAGCGTTGGAATCTACGTGGGAAACACGATTAGCACTTAGATCCAATAGAGTCAAATTAGTTAATGGGTTAAAAATGCCTGTCTTGATTTTTGGGACCTTGTTCATAGTAATAATCAACCTTCTTAAATTTGGTAGATTTTGAAACGTTCCAGGTTCCATATCAGTAAAATCCTCATCCAGTAAATACAGTCTTTCCATGTCTTCTACATCAGCGACTGATCCCGGTTGCAAAATAAGTATTTCATGAGTTAAAATACTGTAATCGCCATCTTCGTCTTTCTCAAATGTTATTCCATTTTTTTCAAATCTGGTTTTATTGGCTGATACCGTTATAACGTACACAACACTTAAGAAACACAAAATGTTATGCATCCTGCACTGTTGCTGCAAGAAGTGACTCGTTTAAACTGAACGCAGGAGGATGTTTTAGTTACGTTATGTAACTGTCATTATCGCTAATTTACTTTGTTTATGATAATACATAGTGGTTTATCGCTCTGAAAATAAAACACATATTTTGCTTTCACGTGAATGATAAAAAGTGTTTGTAACTCATTCAGTAATAACATTTTTAATCGAAGTACTTTATTGGAATAATTTACAGTCAACATACACATATTATCTTAAGCAAATTCATGACTCATGCTCTACAGTTTTGTTAAATTGTTCCGCCCAAGTTTGAATTGCTGTAAGACACTGTGGAGTCCAAGGGTTTTCAGAAATGTCCGTTTCGTTGGCGACGAAAACTGCACCAAAGTATTCTTGATCTATACACTTGATATCATTATCTCTAAGTAATAGTACGTCTATATCAAGACCTTCCAGGAAATCTCCAGTCACCGTTTTTAGTTTATTTGAATCCAGTGATAACATAGATATTGATGTTAATCCTCTAAAGGCATCCTTATCAATTTTTGCAATTTTGTTGCCATCAAGTACTAAGGTGAAAGGTTTTGGAGATTTGATATTACCAAAAACGTGGGCAGGTAGTTCCGTAAGTTGATTATCGCGAATACTAATCCAGTTTAGCGAAGGTGTTAACTCAAACCACTGGCTATCCACACTTGTAAGCCGGTTATTCGACAAAGTTAAGCTTTCCAAGCTAGTTAAATTATCAAAAGCGTTGGAGTCTATATGGGAAATAAGATTACTACTTAGATTCAGTAAAGTCAAATTCGTTAAAGCGTTAAAAATTCCTGTCGTGATTTTTTGGACTTTGTTCATTATAATAATTAATTTCTTTAAACTTGGTAAATTCTGAAATGTTCCAGGCTCTATACCAGTAATTTTTTGTTCCATCAAGTAAAGCCTGTACACGTCTTGTACGTCAGCGATTGATCCAGGTTGTAAAACAAGTATTTCATGTGTTAAGAGGTTGTAATCACCGTCTTCGTCTCTCTCGAATGTTATTCCATTTTTCTCAAATGTGGTTTTACTAGCAGATACCTTCAAAAGGTACGAGGACTGTTTGATAAGTACCCGTTTTAAGAAAGAGAAAGCATTTTTTTTTAATTCTGTATATTTATTTCTCAACCTAGTCTCCTTTCAACTCTATACACCTCGACCAGCGATATTCTAACTTTTTTAACCCATTCAAAAAATATTATTTATGAAACTCTGCAAAATAAGCCTCTGTTTCATTGATTACTTCGCCGTTTGAAGTAAACCGCCTTCCTCCAAGCCATTTTTTTAGATTTGGAGATAGATAAAAGTCACAGGGTGCTAAATCTGGCGAATAGGGAGGATGCAGCAGTAATCCATAGCGTAATTCAACCAGTTTTGCCGTGGCAATTGCAGACGTGTGAGCCGGTGCGTTATCATGGTGAAACACAACTTTTTTTTCGACAAATGGGGCCGTTTTATCTTTAATTCAGCATCAAATCGGCTCAATAGGCTAGCATAGTACTGCCCTGTGATTGTTTTGCCATTTTCCAAATAGTCTATGAAAATGATGCCATGCGAATCCCAAAAAACAGTAGCCATAACTTTTCCGGCCGAAAAAACCGTTTTCGCTTTCTTTGGCGCACGTTCGCCGGGTAGAGTCCCTTGTTTGGACTGTTTTTTGGCTCTGGAGTTAGTGGTGTATCCACGTTTCGTCAACACTCACGTAACGCCTTCGAAACTCCTTCGAATTGTGCTTAAACATATTCAAGCAATGTTCCGAAGTTGTAACGCAATTCCGTTTTTGCTCCACTGTGGGCAAACGCGGCACCCATCGTGCCGATAGCCTTCTGATGCCCAGTTTTTCTTGAAGAATGTTGTGCACACGTTCGGTTGAGATGTTTGCAATCTCAGCAATCTCTCTGATCTTCACCTGACGGTCTGCTAAGACAATATCGTGGATTTTGTTGACCATTTCCTCAGTAGTTACTTTAATCGGACGACCTGGGCGCTCTTCATCCAAAACAGATGTTCTGCCACGTTTGAATTCGTTGAACCAGTATCTGATGGTAGTCATCGAAGGTGCTTGGTCCTTATAAACTGCCTGCAACTTGATTTTGATTTCTTCACACGTTTTCCCATCCAAAAAAAGAAATCGAATCACAGATCCATACTGCTCTTTTTCCATTTTTGCAAAAAACACAACATTGTCAAGTTTCAATAAGTGATATAACAAAACTACTTAACAAATTTGACTGAAATTTTGACAAGCCTCATTTGAAAGATGGCACTAGACCATGGCATACAAATTTTGGGTCAGTGGTACCCACAGTCCTCAAACACGGGTAGTTATCATACAGTCCTCGTATATAACACATAAAAAACACAAAATTTTAAGCATACTGCACTGTTCTGTTGTAAGTTTTTGAGAAGTGGCTTGTCTAAACTGAACGCAAGAATATGTTTTAATTACGTTATATAATCATCATTATCGCTAATTTACTTTGTTTATGATATTACGTAGTTGTTTGTCGCTCTGAATTTATAACAAATTTCTTGCTCTCACATCAAAGATAAAAATTGTTTTTAGTTAATTCATTTATAATATTTCTTGGAGTTGGATTTGAAAATAAATCATTGATAAGTATGGTTCAGCTATTATAGTTTTGCTTTAATCAGTGAAAAGTGTTTTAAACTGTGAAAATTATATCATATGTTACAACTGGTACACAACAAAAACCGTATTTGGAACAGACTGTGAACCTTCAATTGGTTATGGCGTCTTTAAAGTGTAGAAAAAGTTACGTCAAAAACTGATGCTTATTGAAAATGACATAACAACAAAATAATATTAGGTTAAAAAATATTTTCTAATTTTAGTACATCTGGTTAAGGCGATTATTAAAATAAAATACCAATGTTTTGTGTTGACAAGTTACTTTTGAAATAAAAAATAAATAAATAACTGGAAGTAATCGAAATCATAATGGTTATTAGACGGATCAATTCATACAATATAAGACATACAAATGCGCCTCTTCATTGCATTTCTGTAACAATAATAAGAAAATATCCTGCATAATTTTGTATCATCATAAAAAAATCGTTCACTGTTAAGATTAACACAGCTGTAAACCTGCGTAGAAGCACAAAATCAGTTGGGCCAAGTCCACTTTCAAATTGAAGGGGTGGGTGCACCTTCAGATGCGTCTATCATCGTTTCTCTGTTATAGTGGAATGTACTACCTACGTAAGGTTACCGGTTTTTTAATAGATACATTCGCATTCACTCCCTTCTGAAGTGTGCATGTTACGCTACTGACTGACCGTCCGTTGTCAGATTCTGATGACTCACCATTTTGAACTTAAAATAATCCATGAATGACTGAGAACAAAGTGAACAAAATGAATTAATCCGAATCTAGAGTATTTAGAAAACATCGACACTACCGAACTCTTAGGGCCGGTTGCATAAACGCAAATCAAATTTAATCTCTGATTAAGAACAATTGTAACTATGATAATAACAATCGTTACTATGGAGTTAATCAGAGATTAAATTTGATTTGCATTTATGCAACCGGCCCTTAGAGGAAAATCAGTTGGATTTAATACATCCACAGATGTAAGACGATAAGGAAATAAATAAAGACCCTTTCTTAAAATCGGATACTAAGAGACCTAAGCTGTTATGATAAATCATGGATAGAAGTCTCTGGCGTTTCTGTTATTACTTCTCTCGTTTCTTCAATAAGTTCTGGAATTTGCTTCTTTGGACGGCCACTTCCAGGTTTTCGTGCCACAGATCCATTTTCTTCTATAAAAAGCTGATAAGTCAGATATTAATATCTCACAACTCGACTGCATTTAAGATAATAAAAAAAAAACATTTTTCATTCTAGAAGAATATTACATGAAGATAGATCAAGCTTATTGACAACTGTTGACAAAATTTTATGTTTACCTTAGAGAAATGCAAAATAAAAAGAAAAACGAAATTTAGTATAGTCAAATTAAATAGTTTGTATTGTCATAGAAACGATGTCTATTTAAGAAGTACTTTATTGACGCACACTACAGTTACCATGTTCACATTATTTAATAGCAAATAGATGTTGATTACTAACTAATTACGTCATGCCTCATAAAGCATTCTCTATAGTTTTGTCATGTTGTTCCGCCCAAGTTTGAATTTCTGTACGACATTGCGGAGTCCAAGGGTTTTTAGAAATGTCCGTTTTGTTGGCGACAAAAACCGCACCAAAGTACTCTTGATCCACACACTGGATATCATTATCTTTAAGTGATAATACACCTATCTTAAGATCCTCCAAGAAATCTCCAGTAACCGTTTTTATATTATTTGAATTCAATGATAACAAAGTTATTGCCGTCAATCCTTTAAAGGCATCCTTATCAATTTTTGTAATTTTGTTGCTATCAAAGATTAAGGTGAAAGGTCCCGGAGATTTGATATTACCAAAAACGTGGGCAGGTATTTCCGTAAGTTGATTCTCGCCAAAAGTAATCCAGTTTATCGAAGGTGTTAACTCAAACCAATGGCTATCCACACTTGTAAGTCGGTTATTCGACAAAACTATAATTTCCAAACTAGTTAAATTGTCAAAAGCGTTGGGGTCTATATGAGAAATATGATTAACACTCAGATCCAATAAAGTCAAATTAGTTAAAGAGTTAAAAACTCCTGTTTTGATTTTCTGGACATTGTTCGAAAAAATAAATAACCTTTTTAAACTTGGTAGATTCTGAAATGTTCCAGGTTCCATGTCAGTAAATTTTTGTTCCATGAAATAAAGTCTATAGGCGTCTTGTATGTCAGCGATTGATCCAGGTTGTAACACAAGAATTTCATGTGTTAAAACATCGTAATTACCGCCTCGGTGCTTCTCGAATGTTATTCCATTTTTCTCAAATCTGTTTTTGGTAGCGGATACCGTTAATAGGTAAATAACACATAAAATACACAAAATTTTATGCATATTGCACTAAAGTGTTGTAGGTTTTTTAGAAGAAGCTTGTTTAAACTGAAGCAAACAGATGTTTTAATTACGTTATATAATCATCATTATCGCTAATTTACTTTGTTTATGATATTACGTAGTTGTTTGTTACTCCGAATTTAAAACACATTTTTTTTGCTCTCGCATAAAAGATAAAAATTGTTTGTGTCTCATGCAATTATAATATTTTTTGGAGTTGGATTAGTAAATAAATCATTGATAAGTATGCTTCAGCCATTATAATTTTGCTGTAATCAATGAAAAGTGTTTTAAAAGAAACCATGAAAATTGCATTAGACAGGGTCGCTAAAATGTATGGAAACGGTTAAATATCTTAGGAACCAACTGTACAAATCACCTGAAATTAGGTATAAGGATACAAGAAGTCGTGTTCTAATAATTCCTTTTCGAGATGCAAGGCTAACTTTTGAATAGAGCTTTTTTTTCTGAATTCATTAATATCGCACCATCATACTTTCTTTCTGACTGAAACGGTAAAATAAATTATTTTAAATAAGAATAAATAAAAAAAAGATGACATGGTTACTTTTGAAAATAATTTTAATTTGACTGTAAGGTGTTTCTTGCAATAATGGTGCATCTAAGTGAAACTGAACACATAAAATTATTGATGATTATCGGTTAGGGTGACAAAAGACGAAGGTTTAATGAAACTGGAAGTGTTAAAGAATGTCGAAATCAGTTCAAACAATAATAATGAAAAAGGAAAACTTTCACCCAAACAGTCCATTTGGTACAAAAACTAAACGAAGATGATTTTGATCATAGTGTTGAATTTATCGAAATTATTATGAATAGAATACAATGAGACGGAAATTTTACCAACATAGATCAAAAGTTTGTTGACAACTACTGACAAAATTTTAGATATTAACTTAGACGTAGGTACGATTAACCTAAAAAATCACTATTACAAAAGAAAACAAAACCAGATGAGGCGACCGGGTGCAAAATATTTTCTTGTGAACTTAGATTCAGTGTAGTCAAATTAAATGTTCTGTCATAGAACCGGTTTCATTTTAAGAAACACTTTATTGACACAATCTACAGTTACTATATTCATATTATCAAACAGTAAGTTCAAGCTGCTAAAGGCAATGTTGATTAATAATTAATTATGTCAGGAGGCATGCTGTACAATTTTATGATGCTGTTCCGCCCAAGTCTGGATTTCTGTAAGACATTGCGGAGTCCAAGGGTTTTTAGAAATGTCCGTTTTGTTGGCGACAAAAACCGCACGAAAGTATTCCTGATCTATACACTTGATATCATTTTCTTTAAGTGATAATACGTTTATCTCAAGACCATCCAGGAAATCTCCAGTAACCGTTTTTATTTTATTTGATTCCAATGATAACAAAGCTGTTGCCGTCAGTCCTTTAAAGGCATGCTTATCAATATTTGCAATTTGGTTTCCATCAAATATTGCGGTGAGAGGTTCTGGAGAGTTGATATTACCAAAAAGGTGGGCAGGTATTTCCGTAAGGTGATTCTCGCTAAAACTGATCCAGTTTATCAAAGGTGTTGACTCAAACCAATGGCTATCCAGACTTGTAAGTCGGTTGTTCGACAAAACTATAATTTCCAACCTAGTTAAATTGTCAAAAGCGTTGGGGTCTATGTGAGAAATACGATTATCATTCAGATGCAGTAAGGTCAAATTAGTTAAAGAGTTAAAAAGTCCTGTTTTGATTTTTTGGAGTTTGTTCGAGGTAATAAATAACCTTTCTAAACTTGGTAAATTCTCAAATGTTCCAGGTTCCATGTCAGTAAACTTTTGTTCCATGAAATAAAGCCTATAAGCGTCTTGTATGTCAGCGATTGATCCAGGTTGTAACACAAGTATGTCATGTGTTAAAACATCGTAATTACCGCCTTGCTGCCTCTCGAAAGTTATTCCATTTTTATTAAATCTGTTTTTAGTAGCGGATACTGTCAACAGGTAAATAACACATAAAAAACACAAACTTTTATGCATATTACACTGTTTTGTTGTAGGTTGTTTAGAAGAAGCTTGTTTAAACTGAAGCTAGAAGATATTTAATTACGTTATATAGCCATCATTATCGCTGATTTATTTTGTTTATGTTATTACAAAGTTGTTTGTCGCTCTGAATTTAGAACACATTCTTTTGCATTCACATAAAAGATAAAATTGTTTGTATCTCATACAACTGTAATATTTTTTAGAGACTCTATACGTCTTGTATTTATGTCAGCGATTAAACCAAGTTGCAGAACAAATAGTTTAGGTGTTAAAAGATTGCAATTACCTTTTTCGTCGTTACGTTATATAATTGTCATTATCGCTAATTTACTTTGTTTATGATAATACATTGTGGTTTATCGCTCTGAATGTAAAACACATATTTTGCTTTCACATCTAAGATAAAAAGTGTTTGTATCTCATTCAATTATAATATATTTAATTCAAACAAACTCATCGTCAGAAGCACTTTATTAGAACAATCTACAGCGAACAAACACATTAAATTCAAGCGTTTAAAAGTAATGTGGATCACCCATAAGATCATGAATCATACTCTACAGTCTTGTTATATTTTTCCGCCCAAGTTTGGATTTGTGTAAGACACTCCGGAGTCCAAGGGTTTTCAGAAATGTCCGTTTCGTTGGCTGCGAAAACTGCACTAAAGTATTCTTGTTCTATGCACTTGATACCATTATCTTTAATTGATAATACATCTATCTCAAGATCTTCCAAGAAATTTCCAGTAATCGTTTTTATTTTATTTGAATCTAGTGATAACATAGTTATTGCTGTCAATCCTTTAAAGGCATCCTTATCAATTTTTGTAATTTTGTTGCCATCAAATGTTAAGGTGAAAGGTCCTGAAGATTCGATATTACCGAAAACGTGGGCAGACAATTCCGTGAGTTGATTATCCCGAAAACTAATCCATTTTATCGAAGGTGTTAACTCAAACCAATGGTTATCCACACTTGTAAGTCGGTTATTCGAGAAAACTATACTTGCCAAACTAGTTAAATTGTCGAAAGAGTTGGAGTCTATATGGGATATAAGATTATCACTCAGATTCAGTAAAGTCAAATTCGTTAAAACATTAAAAATTCCTCTTGTAATTTTCTGGATTTTGTTCGTTGTAATAATTAGCTTTTTCAAACTAGGTAAATTCTGGAATGTTCCAGGTTCGATCTCGGTAAACTTTTGTTCCATTAAATAAAGCCTATGCACGTCTTGTATGTCAGCGATAGAACCAGATTGCAAAACAAGTATTTCATGAGTTAGAACATTGTAATTACCATCTCTGTCCTTCTCGAATGTTATTCCATTTTTCTCAAATATGGTTTTACTAGCAGATACCTTCAAAAGGCACAAAACACATAAAAAACACAAAAATTTGTGCATATTACACAGTTTTGTTGTAGGTTTTTGAGAAGTAGCTTTTTTAAACTGAACGCAAGACGATGTTTTAATTACGTTATATAATCATCATTATCACTTCTTTTATGATATTACGTAGCTGTTTATCACTCTGAATTTAAAACACATTTTTTGTTCTCACATAAAAGATAAAAATTGTTTGCAACTTATCCAATTATAATATTTTTTGGAGTCGGATTAGTAAATAAATCATTGATAAGTATTCTTCAGCTATTATAACGGGTGTTCAATTGAAAAATAACTCAGAGTAGGCGGTGGAATTTCATTCGGCACAAACGGCATTCTTACAACATCCATTTGGCAGAACCATAACCTGTTGTATGTGATATGATATGTTGTATGTTATAAGAACAAACATGCCGTTTCTGTCAAATAATATTACAATGCCTATTCTGAGTGATTTTTTATTTGAACAATGAAAAGTGTTTTAAAAGAAACTATGAAAATTGCATTATACAGGGTCGTTAGAATGCATAGAAACGGTCAAATATCTTGAAAAGCATTTGTACAAATCACCTGAAATTAGGTGTAGGGGTACAAGAAGTTGTGCTCTAATTATTCGTCAAAAAAAGTTGTTTTTGCTTCATTTGTTTTCTAAATTCAAGACTAACTTGATTTTTTTTAAATGGCACTACCATATAATTAATGCATTTTTGAATAGATTTTTTTTTCTGAATTCATTGATATGCATAATCATACTTTCTTTCTGATTGAAACGGCGAATTAAATTATTTATTAATTATTAAATTATTATTACTGTTAGAGAATATTAAAATAAAATATATCAAACCATTAAAATAGGGAGTATCAAATTTAAAAAAAATTGGGTGTCATAAAAAAAATGTTGAATGTCCTAAAAAAAAACAAATGACGCTTGCATTGCATTTTCTGACATGGCCAGATGACTTTACTATAACGTGATCAGATCCAAGGAAAGGAGAAACTAAAATCTTAACCGAAAGACCAAATGATGTGAAATGATCGGGCCAAGTCCACTTTCAAATTTAAGGGGTGGGCGCATCTTCAGAGGCCTCCGCCATCGCTTCTCTGTCATAGTGAACTTTTCTACCTGCGTAAGGGTACCTGTTTAGATTAGTGCCTAATAGATTTAATCGCATTCACTCCCTTCTGAAGTGTGCATGTTACGCTACTGACTGACAGTCCGTTGCCAGACTCTGATCACTCACCATTTTATGTTTTATCTTAGAGAAATGCAAAAAAAAATTAAGCTGACAATGTATTTCAACACACCATTAACCTAAAAATTCACTATAAAAATAGAAAACAAAACCAGATGAGACGACTGGGCGCAATATATTTTTTGCGAATTCAGATTTAGTATAGTCAAATTAAATAGTTTGTATTGTCATAGATACGACGTCATTTTATAAAGTATTTTATTGACATTAACTACAGTTACTATATTCATATTATTAAATAACAAATTCAAGTATTTAAAAGCGGTGTTGATTACTAACTAATTAGGTCATGCTTCATGAGGGATGCTCTACGGTTTTGTCATGTTGTTCTGCCCAAATTTGAATTTCTGTAAGACATTGCGGAGTCCAAGGGTTTTTAGAAATGTCCGTTTCGTTGGCGACAAAAACCGCACGAAAGTATTCTTGATCTATACACTTGATATCATTATCTTTAAGTGATAGTAAGTCTATTTCAAGACCTTCCAAGAAATTTCCAGTAACCGTTTTTATTTTGTTTGAACTCAATGATAAAAAAATTATTTCCGCCAATCCTTCAAAGGCATGGTTATCAATGTTTGTAATTTGGTTTCCATCAAATATTAAGCTGAAAGGTCCTGGAGATTTGATATTACCAAAAGCGTGGGCAGGTATTTCCGTAAGTTGATTCTCAGCAAAACTAATCCATTTTATCGAAGGTGTTAACTCAAACCAATGGCTATCCAGATTTGTAAGTCGGTTATTCAACAAAACTATGATTTCCAAACTAGTTAAATTGTCAAAAGCGTTGGAGTCTATATCAGAAATACGATTAGCATGCAGATCCAATAAAGTCAAATTTGTTAAAGAGTTAAAAACTCCTGTTTTGATTTTTTGGAGTTTGTTCGAGAAAACAAATAACGTTTTTAAACTCGGTAAATTCTGAAATGTTCCAGGTTCCATGTCGGTAAAGTTTTGTTCCCTCAAATAAATCCTATACGCGTCTGGCATGTCAGCGATTGATCCAGATTGCAACGTGAGTACTTCGTGTGTTAAAAGATCGTAATTACCACCTCGGTGCCTCTCGAATGTTATTCCATTTTTCTCAAATCTGTTTTTGATAGCGGATACCGTCAAAAGGTAAATAACACATAAAAAACACAAAATTTTATGCATATTGCAGTGCTTTCTTGTAAGTTTTTTAGAAGCAGCTTGTTTAAACTGAAGCAAAAAGATATTTTAATTGCATTATATAAGCATCATTATCTCTAATTTACTTTGTTTATGATATTACATAGTTGTTTGTCGGTCCGAATTTAGAACAATTTTTTTTGCATTCACATAAAAGATAAAATTGTTTGTATCTCATTCAATTATAATATTTTTGGAGGATCTGTACCTCTTGTACTTACGTCAGCGATTAAACCAAGTTGCAGAACAAATATTTCATGTGTTAAAAGATTGCAATTACCTTTTTCGTGGGTTATTTCATTTGTCTCAATTCTGGTTTTATTAGCTGATACCGTTAAAACGTAAATAACACTTAAAAAACACAAAATGTTATGCATAATGCACTGTTTCTGGTAAGATTTAGAGAAGTGGCTTGTTTAAACTGAACGTAGAAGGATGTTTTAGTTACGTTATATAACCGTCATTATCCCTAATTTATTTCGTTTATGATAATACATAGTTGTCACTCTGAATTTAAACCGCGCATACTTTTTGTGTATAAAACATAAACATTTTTCGTATCTCATTCAATTATAATATTTTTTGGAGTTCGAGTACAGTTTATTTAGTTCGCAGAAAAAATCAAAACTGAATTTAAAATACTAATTTTGGTTTGACATAGCGAATAAAACATTGGTCTAAAATTATTTAGACAAAAGTTCAGTTTTCTAAGTAAATTATGAAATTTCACTTTGGGAACATTGAACATGCTATGTGCATGTTACTAGTGAATTTTTTCATAACAAAATGTGGAAATGTTATCAATTTTTTAACAAGGTCACAGATATTAGTTTTGATAGGTACAGTATGAAACAGTACCGTATATCCAAAATTTATTCTTTGCATGGTATCGAATAAAATGAGCCTAATCATTAGTTCGGTGGAAATAATACCGATAAATGTCAGATAATTGTTAAAAAAAATTCTTTTGATTGTTGACTCTTTCAAATTGCAAAACTATTTCTACATTTATTATAAGAACTGCGTAATCCAAGCAGTTTTTTTTCTTAAATTTGTAAAAATAGCCACTGGCTGAATGGTTGAAGGATATATAAGAATATTAATAACAACACAAAAATTTATATTTAGTTATATACTACGCTACAATTTATTTCAGTACCGCTACAAGTGATAATAATGAAATAAAAATCCAGTTATTCTACAGCTATTATTCTTGATCGCCAGCCTCTTCGGTATCATTCTTCCTAAGCTCTTTCAGCAAGTGATTCAAATCTTTCAATTTACGATCAATCCGTTCAGCATCACAGTTCATTTTCGAATAATACATAATCACATCTTTACCATGTTGAGATGCCCACAAGTCAATATTCTTCAAACACCCACAATCCCACGGATTACCATCGATATGAGTTGTAGCGGCGACGAAAATATTTTTCAAATCGCCACTCAGACACTGTAACCGATTATTATCAATTCTTAAATCTTTCACCGCAACTTTGGACAACAAATTCTCATCCCAGCTGTCAATCTCGTTGCCATCCAGCCACAAATTATTGATTTTATCCAAACCCTTGAAGGCATCTTCGTGGATCGTCTTGATTTCGTTATTGCTTAATACAATGTTAATGGTGAGCGGCACAGATCCAAACTGCTTCTCACCTCGGAAATTTCGGAAGGCTCGAGCAGGAATTTCCGAGATGTGGTTGTTCTGGAGGGAAACTCTCGTCAGGAGCGGGGTATCGGCGAACCAGTTCTTGTCCCAAATTTTCAGCTGGTTGTCGGCAAGGTTGACGTTCAGCAGTTCCGGCATGTCGTCAAAAGCGCTGGAGGCAATTGTGTTGATGGAGTTCTTACTCAGGTCCATAGTGGCGATGTTCAGTCGATTGAAAACCCCGCTTTTGATTTCCTCTAAACCTTGGTTGTGTGTTATGACGAGTTTGCGTAACTGTGGTACATTTTTGAAAGTTCCAGGTTGTATCTCGGTGATTCCGTCGTTGTTTAGAATCAGTTCGTCTAGATCGTCGATGTCTGAAATTGAATTTTCGTACAGAACGGGAATTTCACTGTCAACAATTTCGAGTTTATCGAAGACTTGCTTTGGTAGTTTGTCTTTTAAGGTGTTTGCAGAGTTAATAGTGACGTTGAATTTTGAAGTGAACATGCTGTAACCACGTACGACTACATTTTTGAAGGTTACGCCGCTTCTGGTTCTAGCAGAGGCGGTGTACAGTAAAACACAAAGAAGAAAAGTTTTTAGCAACATCGTACTAAAGAAACTGGCTATTTCTACACATGCTTTGCTTTTATAGTGGTTCAACAATAAGTCGATTCCTGAGAAACTATTTGTTCATAATTATAAAGTTCAGAAATGATAACCTTCTGTTCACACTAATTTTATAATAATCGTTAGTGATACGCTAGAATTCATTTAATTCGTATTAAGTCAGTGTTTGGAGGAGATAACCCAGACTTATAGTTTGTTGATAAATAAGAAATAAATTATTTAATCAGTGTGTGAAGTTTTTAATTCGTTGAGGATAATTGGGAAGTGCAAACGTTTCGGGGAAGAGAAACATCTGATTATTTTTTTTTAATAAATACGTTTTAAAAATAACTTTTACGACATTTTTAGTAAAACACAATCAAATTAAAAATAGCGAATACAGATAATTAAGAGCTTTCTTGTTAATTGTGGAATTGTACGAATCAAAGTGAATATATTGCAAAATGATATACGCAAAAAAAGGTAAAACATACATTTTTGGACTAATTTTAAAGCCTAAAAGACCACTTAAATAGGTTTTGACGCGATATTAATCCTTTAATAAAAATCACAAAAAGAGCTGTAATGATTTTGCAATATTTTACTAATTGTAATAAATAACTTAACACTTACATTTTCAAGAAATTGATGGCATAATCATTTTTCTTTTAAATGGAACATCAGTCAGAGAATAAATCTGAAAATAAAGAAAATTCAAAACTACATTCTCATGATGCATATAGGGTAAGAAAAATGACATCGCCTCAAAATTATACATTAAACGTTATTCAAATTTTATGAAATAATACAATCCTACACTTGTGGTTTATAAATCTGCCTTGAGTTTTTCCCTTAAAATTACAAATTGTATAACAACCCTATAGCAAAATCAAATTTTATAATTTTTCAAAAATGAGAAATTTGTTGTACTGTAATTCAGACGCGAGGGAAGTTCTGTCGACATTTGACCCATTTTTTTCTTACTTGAAACATTTGTTGTAGTTTGGGATTCAAATTTTTGTTTCAATCATTTTTCAAAAGTAAAGTTGCTATTCAAAAAACGCACAGTACGTTATTTGAAACTTCAAAACTACTGCTGATTGTATCACTGATCTTTTGCTCCTTTTCCTTTAAAAGATTTTTACTTTTTCGATACATTAATACAAAATTAACTGCAAATGCAGAAAACAAATGAACGTAAATCTGAATCGAAAAATTTTATTCGTTAGTGGGTAAAACAACCGGAACTGTAAAAATATGGTTGAATGTTGATTTTTTATTTACCAATGACCTTTTTAAACAATATCCAAATTCCGAACATTATTGATAATTAAAATTTGTTTTTACGATTTTTTTTATAAGGCTTTTTATAAAGTAAATTTCGTGTTACGGGATGGAAAACAATACATGAACCTTTCCAAAAATAAGTAAAAATAATTCCGCATTAAAAAAAAAATCATTCAGTGCTAAAGGTTTATTTTTACGCAGAATCTGTTTCTACTGGATACACTAAAGAACGAGTTGCTACTTATAAATAAAAAATTTGGCCTAGCACTGATATCCATAAGGCTAGACAAAAGTAAATTACAATTCATTTATTCGAATCATTTTTACTTTCCCAGCGTAAGCTTAGGAAGTATTGTAATCGAGTCCATCGGGCGACTGGCTACGTTCACATTTTCTCGACGTTTCATGACCCCTATAATACGAAAAATAGGTCTCCCGTTTCCGTCTGTCTGTCTATCCATCTGTAAGTCTATCTGTCTGCCATCTGTCCAGATTTTTTGAAAGAGACAAAAATCAATCAAATATCATTTTCTATTAACACAAGTGCATGTGGTCGCTGATGCTTGCAATCTGAACGTGCTAATAGTAGAATACTTTGAAAATATAGACTTAAACACTGGAAGTTAAGATGTTTCTGAGAGTAATTTTTTCTCGTTGGTTATATGCCTTAAATATTGTGGACATTTTAAATGATACTTCAAGAAGTGTTTAAAACCAGTTAAAGTAACAAAATTAGAATTAACAAACACCAAGTTATACATCTAAATTGAAAATCACTGATTTTTACAGTTCTGTGTTTTTGTTTCCTTTTAAATTCACAATTTATTTTTCAAGTTGTGAGTGAATCAACGAAATAAATTTAACAAGACCGTTAAAAACAAGGTGTGTGATATAGAAGTCCGAACAAAGAGCAGATTATGAAGTTGAAATTATGAATTAATACGTTGTTAACTGGAAATGCAATATATACAAGCTACAAAAAATTTACGCTGTTTATAAAAATTTAATAAAATTAAAATGACGTTTCCTTTTCATGTGAGACACATTGTATATTCTCACACAACAATAATAAATGCTGTTAAATACACTCAGTGCTCCAAAAATTTGAATGTATTGATAAAGCGCAAGGTTGTACCTGTGTTTGTAGTGAGTGTAATACTAAATAAACTATATTAAGCAAAATTTGCCAATCATACGTATAAAATTTGACAACAATCGATGCGGTAGTTTCGGAGATGATCTGTGTAATAAAAATCGACAAGTGGACAAACTGACAAACAGAGAGGCGAAAACGGGAGACTTATTGTTTCGCACTCTAGGGGCATGCAACGTCCAGAAAATATAAAAATAGCCATTCTTCGGATGCAATACTTCCTTAATTTAAGCTCAGTAAAAAATTGACGAAGGGATTTATAGAGACAACCTAGAAAATATTCTAAATGATGTAAAATGAGTATCCAGCATTAATACAATGTATATAATGATGAGAAACTATCAAATGGCCATTATTCAATTAACATCCAATCTTTGGCGAACAACTCAGGACAATATTATGATTCATAAAATATTAAGTTAAACTTAAAGTACAAAATAGTATATTATTAGCCAAGGTTGCAGAGCCAAGCATTCTAGACCGAGCGCAAATTAGAACCCGAGACGCGCAGCGTCGAGAGCTCTAAGTGCGAGGTCTAGAAGTGGCTTTGCAACCGTGGTTAATATACTATTTTTTTCACTAGTAGAAACCATAAGACAATAAACTGAAAAATAAACGTTCAATTTTTTGACGCGACATGATTTTGTTTTGATTTCTAATCAAACTTGATCTAAATCTTCAACACAAAGAAAACCGTTTATACTTGTCGCTGAGTTAATCATTTTATCTTCTACCGTCTACCAACTATCATGCGTATACTCAAGTAATGTTTGTAGCACACATTTGTTCATTTTTTAAGAAATAATCAGATCAAACATTGCGTACATAACCTCAATTTTTCTTTTTGAACCCGTGGTAGCAAAAGTTGAATTTGCTACCACTAAATGAGTCGACATTTGCATGCGTCCAGGCTGCTAGTGAAAAAAGAAATTTTAAACGAGGTCTATAAAAATGGTCATAGTACCTATATAATTTTATAGGGTAGTGATAATTTTGTGATAAATTCTGCATTAATTTTTTGACTGCGTCTGAAGCACTTTGCCAAGCTACTTTTCATAATTAATGTACTTAACTATGAAAATATAAATAGTAATATAAAATAACTATAACTATGGTAATTTCTAATTACTCAATTACCACATTTAATAATTAATTAATTAAAAGTTAGTATGTTGTAAAATGTGCCTGTGTAAACCAAGAGAAATAAAATTTCAAACCAACAAGTGTACCATTTCGCGTCCTTTTTTAAAACATCTTAATAAAGTCAAACGTAGTTGAAAACCTGGCAACGCAGGAACGAAATTAATCGTCCTCATCAAGTTAAGCACTCGTGAAGCGTCTGAAAAATTCTGTCTTAAGTGTCGTCTTACTTAAGTGTCGCGATTGCGTGGTGTTTTGCGTTAATTCGCTTATAAAGCTTCTTTATGTTCGATTTTATGCCCGAGTCGTCGATTACCAGAATAAAATACCAATTCAGTACCTTGTCCGTCCAAATTAGGATATTTCGGCTTTAATATACGTCGAAGTGTTCGACGGGCTATTTATTAGTTTACTTAACCGGTTCTGGATTGAACGTACGGCAGTAAATGTTACATTAAAAACGTTATTTATTTGGAAAGGATTTGAATTGTGGTGCAGTAACGACGAGACGTCTTCACAAACACGTTCAAGTCCGGATGCCCGGATCAGTGTTCGGCGAGTGATTTAAATGCGACATCAAGCCACATGAATCTACCACTTTAGAAGCAATTTGAAAGAAGAACGAATATTGAAGTTAGTTATGCATGACGGCTACAGGTTATTTAAACGCTGCATCTATCTGCTCAAATAAATGCCTTGTAGGTTTCGGCGCATCTTGATTAAAGAAATCGTTAAGATAAACTAGAATTGACCACAATTCAGGCGATAAATCCTGATTAGCACGTCGCAAATTCCTCCATATGTACGCTAAATCGTCATTATCTTGCATTTATGACCGTCATTTTTACGCCACGGTCTGCCCGTTGTATTGGTTGGGCGAAAACTGGGGTGACGACGTGTCTACATTTTCGAAGGGGAGGGTAGAACGTGAAATTTTAGGGTGACTATATACATACTCTTTCGGCGTCATTTAAAAGTGAGGTTTTTTTTGTACCCACGTGCTTTTATTTCTTGAAATAACACATTCATATAATTTTTCAAAGACGACGTGCTGAAGCTCTAGCTCTATGTGAGTATTAGGAAACTTTGCATGGTAGACAAGCCCAAAAGCTATTAGTTTGCGTTTTGAATATACGCACTTTCCATTTTCTGCTCACAGTGCTTTTTCACTGCTTATTCTATCTGTCATGGTAATAGATATAGAGATGTATATCTATTCTCGTTGTTTATTGTTGGACGTCAAGGCAATATTGTTCACGTAAAGAAACCGTTTATAAATTAGTAACTTGTTTGCATTTTAAATGCTGAGTCTTCTATCTTGTCGCGACAAGCACCACTCCTTGGAGAAAATGTTTCAAAAGGGGTGAATCTCGGCCAAATAGATGGGTATGGTGGTCCAATAGCGACAGGCCGTAATAACAGACATTAGCGCGTCATTAATAA